TACTGAGTTCCCGTGACGAGTAGCTAGGATGGACTAAGGAAATTGATTAATGAATGGGTGAGGAAAAGTTGACTTATTGATTGAAAATTAAAACGTAATGATAACTGCTGGACTAATAAATGAGGTTAGTAATAAAGAAGTAAAGAGAGAGCAAAATAGAACGAGCAAAGGAGATGAGAAAGATATCAGATTAGTGGGAAGTGAAGGGGTACTATTATGTAAGGATTGTATTATCAAGAACCGAGTGGGAGAATACGATTTTTGAATTTGACTAGAAATGTTAACTAAAGGAAACTGGAGAGGAGGACTTGACTGAACTAAATAGAACAAGTGTTAGTACAAGGAAACGAAATGTTGGTACGGCATAAGAAATGGATCTTTGAAAGTGAGTGTCAAAATGAGAAAATGTGATTTTCGGATTTGACGACTATCACAGAAGGAAAGACTAAACTGGACTAGAATCAATGAAGAAATAAGAGATTTCTTAAGAAAACACTGTAAAAATGAAAAAAAGGGACTGAAGCTGTTATTTGTGAAAGGCGTCGCCTTTTTGACTAGGATGCGAATTTCCTACGATGGCGACTAGAGAAGTGTTAAAACGACTACCAAATGAATGAACGATCCGAAAATCGATTGGAAGTTAAAAAGGGTGTTAGTGCTGAAGGAATTGTGGTTAGTAGAATCGAAAATGATGAGAATAAACGACGAGTAAGGTCGTCAACGACCGCGAAGACGAAAATGAGAATTTCTGATTTCGTCATGCTGACGTTGGCGGCTGTCTTACTGTATCGATCGCCTCGGGATCTATCCCGATTTGACCTCTCGCTGCCTTTAGCTACAATACTCTATAGCGTGTTAGTAGGTTATGTTACCTAATTACAATGTTAGTATCGCGCCGAAACGTTAATACATTTCTTTGTACTATCAAGAAGAGTGAAGAACTGAACTGTCAGGTTAGTACAGAAATGGAAAAAGGGAAGGTTAGTCGTTGAATGAACTATTCGAGGAAGTAATTGAGTTAGACATAAAGAATCTTGTCATAATTAATAGTCGTGTTAGTATTTTGTTAGTTAACAAAAAATTGAACTTACCTGGGAGTTCTTCTTTTCACTCTTCTGTCCGGCTGGATTCGTGTCGGCTGCTCGACTCGTTTTTGCTTCGTCGTAATTGCTTTGTCTTCTGTCGAAACTTCCAGTGGGATTAATTGATTGATTGAACGATCTAAAAATTTATTACCATTAGTCTTTACTTTCACAGAACGGGTGAATCCGTCAACGGATTCGTTGATTTGTACTATGAGGCCAAGAGGCCACGACGAGCGTGAAATATTCTCTTGTTTTATTAGTACAACATCTCCGACTCTTGGACTACTCTTTGAACCTTGCTTCTGCGGAAGTCTTTTTTGGTTCCGCTCGGCCAGATTCTGCAGATAATCTTTGTGCCAATGCTGCCAGAACGTTTCTAGGGCATCCTGGAGTACTGAGTATGACTGCATTAGTTCTTCGTGAGAGTCGGAAATGTTAGTACTATCGATTGACCCCATATTAGATGGTGTGAAGTATGGGTTAATGAGGTCAATCGGTCGTAGTACAAATCCCGTGTCTGTTGAATTGGTCTATTTCTGAAATAAGGGTTTGGAGGGTCCACAGGTCTAGAATCCTTCTATGAACTGTCTTCTTCAGAGCCGACTTCACGGATCCTACTAATCTCTCGTAGAAGCCTCCTTTCCATGGAGAGAGGGGCGTAATGAACTCCCATTTGAGACTTTGGGATGACGTGAAGTTTTGGACTACGGGGTGTTCCTTCAGTGCTTTCAACTCGTTCGTTAGAATTTCTCTGCCTAGCTTGAAGGTGGGTGCGTTGTCGCTCAGAACTAGGTTCGGAGCTCCTCGTCGTGCCATAAACCTTCTGAATGCTAGGAGGAATTGCGATGCCGAGTTGTCGGCTACGACTTCCAAGTGCAGAGCACGTGTTGCCATGCACGTGAACAGACACACCCAAACTTTTCGATCTTCACTGGACTCTGGTCGTATTACAAGTGGTCCGAAGTAATCTAGACCTGTGTTTTGAAAGGGTCTGCTTCGTACTACTCTCTGGCTGGGGAGGTCTGGAATATTGGGGTATGAAAAGGATCTACCCTGGTGTCTTTTGCAGGCGACGCACTTCGAGATGACGCTGTTCACTACTCTCC